AACATATTCAAATGTATCAACTAGTTCCATTGTTTTTTAACCCAAGCTATAATTTAGGGAGCTAATTTTCACACTCTCTTTTTTAGAAATTATATGCTCTCACTCTTCTTGTCCACTTACACTCCCTTTGTTGGAAATTATATGTTCCTACTCCTCTTTTGTCTACTTACACTCCTTTGTTGGAAATTGTATGTTATATAGTAAAAATTATTAAAAAAACAAAAGGAAAGTGAGAAAATCAGCACCCATTGATATAATCCATCGGGAGGGAATTCTATCTTAGGTCATTTGCATCAACCATCCATTCTAATTCCCTAGAATATAGTGGCCATTTAACAAGAAAAAAAAAAAGAATCTTATGAGTGTCAATGCATTTAGGTTTGCAATATGCTAGCAATTTTTTTTTTTCACTTTATATAATGCTAATGGTTTATTTATTTATTTATATTTTTATAAATACAAGTAATAGTCTAAATTATTCTAAAATAATCTAATTTATGGTGAGAGGGAATCAAACCTAAATGCAACAAGGTGAGAGTCACTGCCCTGACCAACTGACCTAACCCACATATGCTAATGACCATTAATTTGTTCTAATGATGTTGATGGTTCATATCATCATTATGAGCCGAGCCTATCGGAGAGCACCACGTGGCTACCAGGGACCAGGTCATCATTTTACCGACCCAAGCAGATCTGTCAATAGAAAGTACTCCTAGCCAAGCCCATTAGGAGATGTCGTGTGACCCAGTGGTCGGGAACTCGCACACTGACCCGACCACTGAGATACTCTGAAACCAAAGACGTGTATCGATATTCTGACACAACCAGACCCCTGTAGAGTCGCTCACCCCATGAGCTCAAGTGTCAGCCTGGTGATGTGTGGGATCATTTAATGTGCCTCACATCCAAAGCCAGGTGTTGCCTATCTCCTTATTCCCTAATAAACAACCTGGCGATGGAAAGAGATCAGTTAATGCACCTCACATCGAAAGCCAGGTGTCGCTTTGCCACTTGATCCCTGTTAGACAGCATGATTATAAAAAGAAGTCATTTAATGTATTTCAATCCCACCAGGGGGGAGAGAGAGATAAATATCTCCTCCTTAAATATTTATCCCTCCTTATCCCCCCCTATAAATACCCCTCACTTGTAGCAAGACAAAGGTAATAAGTATTCTCACCTAAAAACCCTACATCCCTCTCTCCACCTTTAAACTACTTCTAACTTAGCCATCGGAGGTGGTTCAACTGGAATACACCCAGTCTACTCTTATTCTGATAATTGTTCGAAGTGTGTAGATCATCTCCAGAAGATAGCTCAACCACGCAATTTGGTGTAAGCCTTAAACCTTAACCCAAGTTAAGGCCACTTGCACCACGAGAGGGACGCCTGGTTTACAAATGATATAATTTGTACTTTGCTGAGAAATTTCTAACTATATGTCTCATTCCAATTACGGAATAATCATTTACATCTAATTTTCTATTGTAATTATTCTACAGAGTGTATTAATCTGGTTTTAATACTTTTTCTATAATTGGAAACTTGTCAACTTGTATACATGATACATCTACAATACCAACTTGACCTGATGACCTGAGCATACTGGATACCTACATTGGCACATTATAGAACATCAACTTGCTCCATTAAAGTAACTGGTTTTGTCATGTCAGTCTTTTCAGTAGATTACTATATTTTCGTGTTGGACAAACTTATAGTAGGTGGTTGCTGGTTACGAGGGTTATAAACCAAACGTTGAAGTCTTTTTTTATTTTTTATTTTATTTATTTTATAAAACAAGTGGGAGTCTAAATTATCATAAAAACTTAAATGAAATGAGAATAACACTGTTTTACTATTTTCGGCCAATTATAGACTACCACGTAAAAAATTTATCACGCATGACATACAATGATTGATTGAGAATGGCAAAATAGTGCGTTTTATTTTATTTTATTATCACGTCAATTATTTGAGTGGTTGCATAATTTTCTTGTGGTCAAGTTTAACTGTTGAATTGAACATGTCCTAAAGAGATAAAATTTTAATTGATTGATCAAACCATCAAAATTACTGAGAATGAATGAAGCTAGAAATTTTAATTGATTGATCAATTATTAGCCGTAGAATTAAATTGAACCGTCTAGATTTGAAATTAAAAGAATAATGCCACAACCGCTTAGCACAGTCGCACCGACCTTTTACTCATCAAACATTACCATTGTCTTTTTCTTCAAGAAGTTAATTTTAGTTTTGTTCTTCGTTTTGTCCTTTGAACAAATATCACCAAGGAAATCAAAAAGTCATCCGAGAAATCTCAAATTTGGCTGACAATTCTATCATATGTCTGAGGGCCATGAAATAAATATTCAGATCGAATGATTTTTCGTGGACTATAAGTGGTGATTTCATATGTGTGGAAACTAAAACATTAGATTGTGGTAATTTCAGTGAAAACCATCTTCAGCTTTGGACTCCTCTCTCTCTCTGGGTTTCTTATACACACAACTAAGATGTCATTTGAGTTCGAACATGAGACGTTTAATCTGCAAATCAATCCATTATCCACTTAGCTAGACTCCGTTGACAACGTAAAAGTTAGATGTGCAAAATTGTTTTATTTTAGTCATCGATTCTTGAGTTATTTCCAGTTTTTTATGGCTTTCATTTTCAAATAAAAATGTCTTAGTTTAAAACTAATTCCCCAGAGTGAAATAGTCCATATTGTCGGCCACGCATAAATCAGCGAAGACATTATTTGTCGAAATTATCTACGGCTTACAACACCTCCATCGCTGATCATTCATGACCAATGAGAAACTTGTATTATATACACTACTATTCACAAACCATTGTCATTTTTTTGTGAGAGATGAGGGCATCATATATAGGTGTTCTCTCGGTTGTATTATTAGAGTATATTATAATAAAATTAGAGAAATTTTATTGAAGACTCATTGCTCAAAATTTTTAATTAAAAACCACTAATTTTCCCTGATATCAAATGATAATTCAGGCAAATTTTTTATTTATTTTATGACTACATCTCCAAAACCGAGATCACACTTTTGATTGGCCTCGTCATGGGTGCTAATATTTTGTAGCATTCTTTTCTGACTGATCAATATTTTTAACTAGTCCATATATTTTGCTTTCCTTGTTAATTTATTGGCAAGATATAATTCTACACCAACTCGAACATATTGGATAAGTATGAAACGTATTACCTTTGTGGAACAACCGACGTGGGATTATTTTACCCAAAAGTAGCAAAGTCAGAATAAGCTAGCTTTGCCGGATACCATTTTAATCCACATAAGCTCGGTCCCAAACATGATGCATACATTCAAAAGGAAATCTCATTAGACCTTTGACATAGATTGAAATGTTAAAACAAAGCGTAATTAGCAATGATTGAGAGTCTCAATTACCTATGCGCGCACATAAAGTAACTTTATGGCTAGTGTTGGTAAGTTGATAGGGAAAGGCAAGCAGCCTATGCTCTAAGGCTAAATTAGTTAGCAGTTTACCTATATTTTGAGACTAAATTGATGTTGTACGACTAATGAATTGGTAGGTACGTTAATTTCTAAGTATATATAATATACTGTGGGCCGTGCTCAAATTGTATTTTGGGTTCATTTCAATTTAGTATCCTAAACTCTTAAATTTAAGGCACGTTTGCACATGTACTCTCAATTTTAACGATTACATACCTTAAGCTTTTCAATTTTGTGCAATCTGGCGGATCCAGGATTTAAAAGCCAAGTAGGCAAAACTTACCTTAAAAACTCGACGGTACGAGTGAATTTTATGCATAAAAATAAAAAAGATACACCTAATCAGGGGGACGTAATGAGCCTTACCCTCAAATATGCATAATCCTTTACGCAGCCAATCAATTTGCTCAAGGGAGAAGAAGTGGGGACCGTCAATTGAAATCAATTGGGTTTGCTTTGCTCTTTTTGTTTTTTTAAGTATAATATAAGTGGGCATGGCCCATGGGGTTGGAGTGGAGAATGTCGGCTGGGCTGGAGCATTTGAGTTGATATTGCTTTTATTGTTTTTGTTAAATGATAAATTTTGAGTGGGCTGGGCTATTGTTTTTGTTAAGGAGGGGAAACATTTGAGTTGGTTGGGATTGAGTAGGCAGAAGAGATATAATTGTATTAAGTATTGGGTAATATTTGGTTTGGCAAAAAATTGAGTAGGCGGCTGCCTACCCTGCCCTTAGGGTAGGACCGCCCCTGGTTTCGACGCTTCATCATCAAAATTTTCGTTAATTGCTTGCATGACAAGTCTGGGTTCCACCTATTCACTTATTTCAATGTCAGTTGAAGAGTAATTTGTTAAGAATTGTATTCATTAAATATGTTGGTAGTCTCTTAAATGCAATCTAACGGCCAAAATTAAAAATATGTAATCAATCCTTAACTTACTAATTCTTCTATTAATACATTATAGTATATCATAATAGGTATAATTTACCCGATTAAAATTAAAGTTCAATCTTTTACCAACTTTAAAAAACATCTTATTTAAAAATGAAAATATGATTTCCTTATTTTTTAAACACTTTTTTTTTTTTAATACAAGCTATAATCTAAACTATAAAGGGAGGGAGTTTCTCTCACAAACACACTAGCAAGGTGCCATAGGAGTTCGAACCTGAGACCACTGGTCCGTAAGACAAGACCCTTTTCCATTGAGTTAGATCTCGTTGGCACCTGGTTTTCTAAACTTTGTTTTACGTATATATATATTACTTCACCTACGGATCAATTTCATCTGCTTTAACAAATTTAATTATTATAAAACTAGTAGTTGCATTTAGAAAAATTAGGTTACATAAAAGATGTTTGTATCTAGTTGATGTGATACGTAGTCTAGGATGAAACTTATCTTGGTAATTAAGACAATAATTTTATTCTTTCAAAAATGGTACAACAAAAAGTTTTGATACTTTAATCTATGTTTAAACTTAATTACCTAACATGCATCAACAAATTTTGGTGTTTATATATGATGAAAGCAGGGTTTTGCAAGAGTATAGTGAGAGAATGCGAGAGATGGGCATCCAATTGCTTAGAAGGATCTCAAAATCTCTGGGGCATGAAGAATGCTACATAGAAAAGAAAATGAAGTTGGAATCTGGCTACAATATTTTGGGACCAAATTTCTATCAATCTCTGTCGCGTTGCTCGGATGATAAGAATCAGATTGGGCAGTTTCCTCACCAAGACCCTGTTTTGCTTGTGCTCATCGCACAAAACGTGGGTGGGGGGCTTCAGATTAAGCACCAAGGGAAGTGGCTCAATGCAGATTTTTCTACTAGTTCCATTGGTGTCCTTGTTGCCGACAATATAGAGGTTGGTGCATTTCAATACATTTCTCAAATTTTCAATTCTTCTCCACAAAAATCTAATCATCTTGCCAAGTTTTTTCTCTTTCGCACATTATATATCTTTAATACTAGGTTTAGGGAAAATGCTATACTTCAATATAGTCAGCAACTTTCTCTATGCTAGCTGTGTTTAACCCAAAACAGTCAGTAATATTGGATGACTTGAAGTACATGTGACAAAATTCATTCCGTCACTTACATGAAGTGCCCAATGTCATATGTATCATGTTACTAGGGTATCCAATCCAAAGGCAATCCCTTTTGAGTGGAGAAGCGTAAGTTTTTTTTATGAGAGATACATCACGGAATAAAACTTAGAAAGAGACAGACATTGACTTAACCAAGTTGGCTAGAGTGGATGTGCTCCATTCTCTACACCCGAGTTCGAATCCCCCAGAGGAAAAAAGAAAACAACAAAAGTTAGATATTTTCCATTTTATAACCTTTAAAAACAGCTCATATTTGTTTCGTTTGTTAAAATTCCTGTGCCATATTTAATTAGTAATTAATTTGTGGTTTGCAGATTCTTACCAATGGGAAGTACAAGAGCTTGTTGCATCGGGTGGCTTTAAACACAACAGTGGAAAGGTTGAGTTTACCCTTCTTCTTTGAACCATCATTGGACGCAACTGTGAAGCCTGAACCAAAGTTTGTAGACGACCGCAACCCACCCTCTTATCGTCAAATGACTTACAAAGAATACTTGGAATCCAATTCTCAGTACCATGTGATCGAAGCAAAAGCAAACTTGATCAATGAGGCTCTGCTCTAGCTAACACCAAACGAAGCTGCTTCTTTTCAATAAAAAATAATAATAATAATTGTATTTCTTTTTAGAAAAGAAAAGAAAAAGTATTTAGACCTTGTATTTAAGTAATAAGGGCTCCATTTGGAGTACTCTTTTTCCTTGACCGGATTTTCCTCCATTGGGGGTTTTTTATGGCAAGGTTTTAATGAGGCCACATTAACGCCCTCTGTTCATCTGTAAACTTTTATCGTTTGTTTGGTTATAGTGATGAATGAAATTATTCCTATATGATTATATTAAAAAAAAGAAAGTAATAAGGCCCCCCTGGGAGCTAGCCTTACCTCCAGTGGCAAGAGGAGGGTTAATTTTCCCTTTTAAGACAAAAATAAAGGTCCCTATAAGGAGTAACACTGGTCTGAAATGAGGATAGCATTGTTTTGCATGTGGCAATTTGTGATTCGTTCGGGATAGCAAAACAATGTTATCTCTGTTTCACACAAGTTTTTCTACCCTATAAGGGGTATACTAAGTTGTTATATTAAGATCTCTGTTTGTTTGTAATGGTGCTGGAGCACCTTTTCCCTATTTCAAATAAGACTTCACCCAAAACCAAATTAAGGGTTTAATTTGGGCTGCTTTTCGTGGGTTTATACTAAACCAAATTAAGGGTTTTTTCTGACTGTCCCCGCATGGGGCAAGGAAGAGAACGACTTATGTGAAAGTATGTAGGCCTAGGGCTGGCCTCAGTGAGATTCGGCTTGATTTTTATCAAAACCGGACAACTGGCCCGACCGGTCTGGTTTGGCCACATGGAAATGCCCAGCCCTAGTTAGGAAGGTTGCCAATTGCTATTGGCCTCGCGGGCCCAAAGTATGCATTCAGCTTATCCCCACCCAAATTCTCAGAAAAGCTTGAATTTTTGGAGTTTACGGATGACCAAAGTTAAATGGCTAATTACAAGTTATTTCAGACGTGCACTTGAGCTCCCCCTTGGTATTAGCATATTTCAGTAGCTTTCAAAAAACTAATTTCTTTTATTTTGGACCAACCCTATTCAACACAAAAAGAACTGCAATCAGTATGGATGGGGAGCTTAAATGATGCTGCAAAATGCATATCAGTTGTGCTAAATATCTTTTGAACAATTAACCAATGGAATACTTACATTATAAGATAGATAATAATAAGGATTTCCGATATCTAAAATAATAGGTGCAATTTTGATAAAGGTTTTCTCGTTATAGAGTGTAATATGCAAAAAGAAACAGAAATTATGTAGGATTGGTCATACCACATTAGTATGATGATGTGGTATGACCAATCATTCAAAGAACGTCATGTATTCAAATACATACCACCATCTTTTTTGTTTCAATACACCCATGTATTGTAATTGAAAATCAAAATTTCATTATGACCAAGGACTGTATACGAAAACCATGTGGCATTTTGAATAGTATTTGGTGCTTTTCAAAATAACTTTTAACAAAAGAGAGCAAAAAATTTTGATCATTTAGTTCATTGATTGCACCAACCCCTCATCGTTCTCACAGTATGCTGAAAAACATAACTATATTAATAACTTTTCTATGAGGAATTATATTAGTGAATTAACTAATTGCAATTTCCACAAGTTGCAACACTGCAATAAGTACACAGGATATGAGGCATACCAGTTATCATCACCTCAGAGCTGGTACAGCCTTCTCTTCTTTGGTGATAACAAACTTGCCCTCTGTGAACTCACAAGTTGCAATTGGAACGCTAAGCTGCCTCTGCAGCTTCTTCACGACAAAAACTTCCGACTCTTCGCATATTGTTACGACAGTGCCCTTCCTGCCAAGCCGACCAGTCCGACCAGCTCGATGTGCATAATGAATAGAGTCAGTGGGTAACTCCAGATTGACTACAAGATCACATTCTGCCACATCCAAACCCCTGGCTGAAAGTTCATTTGTCACCAGAATTCTAACCTCCCCATTCTTGAACTTTTTAAGAGTTGTTGTCCTACCAAGTTTACCAAGATCGCCATGTAGCTCTGCTGCTATCATTCCACGAGCCTCCAGCTTGAAGACGGTATCTTTTAGTTGCTTGGTGTGGTTCATGAAGACAATAACGGACTTGGCATCAAGAGCATGAACACATCTTCTCAACGTGTCAACCTTGTGTTGTAACTTTGTAACACAGTAGTAGTGTTTTAGAGATGGAGGTAGGCTCTGTATTGCAGCCTGAGTCTGCACATTTGAGGATGGATCAGAACTGGTTGACTGTCCTGACAAATTAATGGGTCCAGAGGGAGAAATAGATTCAATGGAAATGACTTTTTTTGCTTGGATGAGAAGTGGATCGTGCCCCCAGCTCCTGGCTGCCCGTATCACTGAAAATGGTACTGTGGCAGAAACCAGAACAGTCTGACGCTCAGCCCGCTTGGCAAGGGAGCCTTTAGGTCCACGTGAGTCTCCACTGGATTTCCTCCCAACATGTTCCAATATCCGGTGCATGTCCTCCCGAAAATTAAATGAAAGCAGTTGATCAACCTCATCTAAGACCAAGAAACGGCAGCCGTGGGTGTGAAGCTTCCCAGCTGCACTAATCTCCGAAATCCTTCCCGGGGTCCCAACAACAATGCAAGGTTTATTTTTCCTCAGTGCTTCTTCCTGTCTTGATCGATTTGCACCTCCTACAAGCTGCTGAACTACTTTTTTGTTTGCAGGTCCTAATATCTTCTCAAACTCTCTCACAATTTGCATACCCAGCTCCCTCGAAGGAGCCACAATTACTGCTTCTATGTCTGTTTTCTTCCCAGGTTCACCATCACCATCACCATCACCATCAGATGTTATCGTCTTTAGCGGGCCAACTTCAGAGAGGATGGGAAGAAGATAGGCCAATGTTTTTCCTGAGCCTGTGTAAGATTGAATCACAACATCATGATCTTTAAGAATTGTTGGAATTGCAGTGGCTTGAACATCAGTTGGAGTTTTGAAGCCTTCCTTCTCTAACCTCTCTATCAACAAAGGTGGAAGCCCAAGCTCGAAAAATGATTTAGCATTAAAGATCGTCGAATCTATTTCAAGCGATCTGTGTGGCCCAGCTGCCTTGACTACATGGCTTCTAACCACCTTGGCTTTACTTTTGGGGACTTCTGTAAGAGAATTCAGCAGCTTGGCTTCGTTGAATTTTCCAGTCTCTACTGTTTCGTGATCATTTTTGAAGCCGAGGCTTGCAAGACTCAGACTACAAACACTTCTATGGAACCAAGCATTCCTAGAAACATGTGGAAACTTATGGAAGGATAGAGACTCTCCAAAAAGGAGCAACCTTGGCGAGATTAATGCCGGCATCGTTAGGAGGTCCCAAGTCCCAACAAGTAATAACTAATTAAATACCATCTGATTGAACTCCAGCTGCAAATTCAGATTCAAGAAGAAACAAGAATTAGATGATAAGGATGGAACCACATGAACAGATAATTAACTAAATAACTATCAGAAAAATAGAAACTGAACAAAAAGCAGATCAGTACGAAAATAGAAATCCATACACTCGATCTGACATTATAAGAAATAGAAAATGCACCCTAAAATGGATTAATAATCTTCTACTAGTTAGAAAACAAACAGCATCAAAATAAGAAACTTCATGACCACATGCACCCTAAAATGTAATATCAGTAAGCTTCAACAGAGACAAGAACACATAAGATTACACACAAACACAAGAACACATAAAATTAAATATACAGACACACAAACACAAAAACACATAAATTATATTTACAGCTGCAACAAAAAACAACAAACAAACAAAAACAAAAACAAAAACAAAAGAAGCTCAGCAACACAGAAAAACTGACTGGACACCGATGAATGTGACATTTCTCAACTGAACAGAGCAAACACTATGATTATAATATCCCATTAGAAATCAAACCCTAAACTAGAAAGAAAAACGGAAATTAAGAAATACCTTTTGGGGTTAAGTCATCAGAGTTGGAGCAACCTTAGAAAAACTGAAGAAGAAGATAGGAATGGCAGAAGAATTTGATGCAGACCACAGGTTTTACTGAAGAGACCCACTCGAGGTTTAGAAGGGGGACTGCGGGAGGAGAGAGCTACTGGGTTCAAGGAGATAAGGATGGGCCTGGGCTGCTGCTGGTGGGTTTTGTAATCAACCCAAAATATTTTGTGACTCACACAAATCTGTTATCTTTTTTTTTTTTGGTCTGAACCATGAGGTGGTCCTGGATGGGCCCAACTATGGATGGCACCTTTAAGCCTTAACCACAACCCAGACAAATCTGTTATCTTTTTTGTTTGGCCCATTTACGACTTCAGTCTCCGTTTTTTTTTTTTTTTTTCAAAAAATAGCTGAATTATATTTTTTATATTTTCGTAATTTTCATAATTTTCCACTTTAATTCTTGTCATTTCGATTTAGACAATTTTAGTGTTGTAGTAAGTTTGGTTGGCAATCAAGTCCAAATCGTAAACTCGGTTATATTGATTGATGATATTCAATGTGACAATATGCAACTACCATATGTGACGATACTTTTATCTTTTTTCCTAATAATTTTACATTTGTAGGACTTCATTGCTACTTAAAGAAAAGTACAGGATTTGCTCTCGTACGGAGTCACCACTTTGGCCAACACTTTACCCCTTACGGGCCGACCTGGTGTGAGTGGGGATTAGTCTGGGTTGTGGTTAAGGCTTAAAGGTGTCACCCATAGTTGGGGCCCATCCAGGACCACCTCATGATTTAGACAAAAAAAAAAAAAAAAAAAGTACAGGACTAGAATTGTAAAAATTAAAAGAACAGGGAGCAAAGTGGAAAATAGACCGACCCGCTCTACTAAATTTGGAGGTTCTAGAACAGGTTGATCTCAGCCATTACATATATATATATAATAATTGTGACTGGGAATAATATAGTATATTGAAGCATGAGAATATACCCTTAACCCAAAAAAATGGCAATTAATATTTGTGATAGACATCAACTTCTGTAAAGTAGTTGAGGAACAGCCCGCATAC